CTCAATTCTGAGTGTCATGGCAAAGACTGAATACTCATGTACATGGTTTGTTTTGTTTTTTATTTTTAATAAATTGCAAAGATTTCCAAACAAACTTCTTTCACGTTGTCATTATGGGGTATTGTTTGTAGACTGTTGAGGGAAAAAATGAATTTAATCCATTTTGGAATAAGGCTGTAACATAACAAATTGTGGCAAAAGTTAAGCTCTGTGAATACTTTCTGGATGCACTGTATAATGAGCACTAGATGTCTTTTCTGTTATATGCTACTTATGCTTTTATGGTTTATGGAGGATGTATGTCAGACAAGTAAAGATGGTAGACTGACCAGAATGATATACTTATGTGGGAGAAGTTGCTATAGGAAGCTATGAGGTTAGATACCAAGGTAAGCCAACTCACATTACACTAGGTGAAGTGTGTTTCGCATTCTGTGGAAGGAAGGTGATCACCACTAAAGAAGATTTAGACACTTTCTATCACAGATTTCCTAAATGGGACTGTATTTTGTTTTTTTAATGAATTTCACCATGTTGTAGGATTCTCTCAATATATTTTTTTATGTATATCAAGATATAGGAAGCTATAAGTGTGTATGTACCGTAAGAGCTTTTTCTCACCTTTGTTGTACATGAGGAGTGACTGAGTTTTTGGTATAGTATTGTTGTTTGGGTAGCGTTGCACTACTTTGTTTATTTGATATTGCTAAAAGGTCTATCAATTTTGCCCATTTTTTTTCTTTTCATTATTTTTCGCTTTCTTTTTTAACCTTTTGCTAAAAGTATCCGATTGATCCAAGCATGTTTATGGCTGGGTTCACACTTGTGCGGTATATCGCATGTGATTCGCACAGAAACCGCACAACATTCCTGTGCAAATCACATGCGAATTGTGTGCGATGCAATTGGAGCCGTACATTTTCTATGGCTCAAGTTGCACTACATCCGCACCAAAAAAGGTGTAGGACCCTTTTTTGGGTCCGCACTAGAATCAGATCGCATTGGCATTCACACCCATGCGATCAGACTCTGCATATCACACTGATTTCAGGGTGTTGTTAAACACACCAGTAGCAGCTCGCATGAATGGGGTGCAATTGTGATGCAGCGCGGAATTCGCACAGAAAACGCTATGAATTCCACACTGCATCAGAGGGAACCCAGGATAACAGACTCAGTGCCTCTAGTTAGCAAAGCAACAACTACTCTTTCAGTAGGTTAGTTCTGAACTTTCCTCTTGCTAGTTCGAGGTCATGTACCTGGTGTTTTTGCTCACTGATGTATAATTAATGTGATAAGGTGTGTTTTTTTAGGCTGGGGCTGCAGTTACAAAAAAAAAAAAAAAAAGACCACCAACCTATCGTAAACCTTTCCTTCTTTTCAGGTTTATGAAGCAAACACAAACATCTTTGCTTATCTATAAATATCATGTTCTGCTGCTTCTGCTTTCATGCACAATGTTTCCTGAAGAGAGGACTCTGAAACCTGAAAGCTTTTGCTTATACTACTTGTTTGGCATTAATGATACAACGTACCGAATCAAGGCTGAACACATTTATTATTGCGTAAAAAACAGTGAAGGATAACAAGTTCATTGACAATACGGGTAACAGCGCATTAAGTCTTAGGATCTACATAAGTATTATAAAGCCCCAAAGAAGAGGATACACATGGTCTTGTTATGTACAATAATATTGTTCTCAAATGGTATCGAACGTGTCAACTCATGTGGGTGAGGCGTGGCCCTGAGCATAAACAACCCATAATGTATACCCACAGTATAGAAGAAATCAAGATGTGCTCCAGCAGAGGAAAGCCACACATTTCCATAAATTTGACAGTATGGGATTTATTTACTAAAGCTGGAGAGTCCAAAATCAGACTCCCTTCTGCATAGAAACCAATCAGCTTCTAACCTCAGCTTGTTCAATGAAGCTTTGGCAATGAAACCTGGAAGCTGATTGGTTTCTATGCAGAAGTGAGTCTGATTTTGGACTCTTCAGCTTTAGTAAATAAACCCCAATGTGTCCACTTTATTGGTAAACCATAACATAAGCACTAATGTGGGGACGAAGAGGACACTGTCTCTTTATCAAGCCTCCCACAGAGACTAGTATTACCAAATTCTTACTCTGACACGTTGTGCTTTTCTGTATTGCCTGGTATGTCTTGGGTTCCAGCTCTGGGCTCTAGTCTAACTGAAAAGCAAATGACAATGCAAAGAAGGAGAAACAGCCCATGTATGAATGGAGATATTTGCAAAAATGGATAGTATTCCTGCTTTGAAATTTTGTTTAGCCAGTCTTATGATCTAGCCAACACAGCAAAAGTGATCAGTCAGGTCCTGACCTTCAACTGTGCTACCTGAAGACTGTACTCAAATTAAGCAGTACAGCCAGTTCGAATGGTAGCCATACACTCTACCATTAAAATGATCAATTTCTTTTATGATCGTTCTCTTCTGAGATTGATAGCAGACAACCCATTCAATCACTATCTCACACATGGGGAATTGGATTTTGGCTGATAGCTAAGATATAAATTTTATATATATATATATATTATTATATTATAGAATTGTAATAAATCATACGTTATGGATCACTTCTCTGTTTCCAACATATAATCTTAGAATCTGATTGATCTAACTATGATGATATTCACGAACAAAGCATCTCAGCGCTCAGCAAAACATTTAATACTATTCCCCTCCCCCCAACTGATCGACTCAGTTTGATGGAATGTGATCGAAAGGGAGTCTAGACTGATTGGAAGGGAAGATACGGCTATTCATTTATTTGAAGATTCGGTTTCAAGACTCTGATTTGACAATTGAGTAGCAGAAGTACACTAATGAGAATACAGCACTGAGCTTTTCTTCAATCAGGAGGATTAGACAAACCATAACTAGATTATATCCTGGTTTTTGGTCTGGCTGGATTTAACATGGAGCTGAAAATTAAAGAGAATCAGATGCTGCAATGTGTGAATTGTCTGCTGAACAATGGTGCCTGAAAGCACCAGTATTCACTTTCAAGCCAGTTCCTGTATGTACTGTATATGGAGAACCCTTGATCTCTGGTCCAAGTTGTATACTGGGACTTCACTTCTGCCCACGTTGGTGCAAAGTCCCAACCACAACCATTTAAAAGTCAATTTGAGGAAGCTCATTAGCCAGTGGTACACAAAGCCCAGTACACACTATAAGAAAATCAGACGAACAATCGGAGCATGGTACTAATCATACAAAAATTCTAACGACAAAAAGCTTTTTTTTTTTTCTTTTTTTTGTTGCTTATTGTTTCTGATCATGCGCAATCTTTCGTATCCGATTTTTCTCGTATGAAAACTGTACACATTAAAGAAAAATCATTAGTTCTGTTAAATGTACAAAAAAAATTTGGAGTTTGTCCCTTCAGAAATTTTAATTTGGAAAGTCTGAAAAGGATTTCGAAAGTTACGTACATGCCATTAAAAAAAAAAAAAAAAAAAAAAAAAATCAAACGATTGTGACTCATATGGAATTTTTCTTCTGATTTTCTCATAATGTATACCCCACTTTTTCGTGTAATTGAGCTAAGAGCAACTGTATAATAAATACTATTTGGCCAAGGATAAAAACGCACACACACAGTAATGGCCACTGCCTACCTTTCTTCTTTGTGCAATCACCCTGCTTAGTTTGTCTCCTAAACAGGAGGGCTCCTTGAACAGCAAGCTTTGCTTTTCTAAACCTAATTATTTGTCTCAACTCCAGATATGTTTAAATCCAGAAAATCAAATTTTTCTCATATGTGCCTGCTGTTCTGTGTACGTGTATGAAAAAATATCCTTGTATTACTTCCTTTGTGTGAAATCCCTGGTGTTCTGCTAGTCCCTCTGCTTTCCTGTTAAAAACTGACCACACTAAGTAAGATAACACAGTGTGGTCAGTTTTCTGGCTGTGCTGGGAACTCAGCCTTCTCTCCTCCAATGATCAGACTTCTGCTCACATACCCCCTTCCCTGCACAGCCATTCACAGGGAACATAGGTATGCTGCTGTTTCTCATCCCCCAGCTCTCTAAGATCCTTAAGCAGCTGAGAACAGGGGGCATGGGATCACTCATAAAAAGGGGGAAAAGGGTATTAATTAATACACACACACTTTGCTTTTCATTTGTATTTTAAACTAAATAGGTTGTATTATAAGGTGAGGGTTTATAAATACTTTACTAACTGTAAAATCAATATGCACGTTTTGATTTCAAACACATATGCAGCACTGACGTATAAATATGTATTTTATATGGAACCATTCACATTAGTTGTGCCCCAGAGATGCTTACAATGCCATTTCCCAGGCTCACGGCTACAAACAAATACACATTCTAGCTTCAGAATGCACAGAGGCTGATTAACCAGCAGTATAGTGTTGGGTTGTTGGAAGTAAACTGAGGCATCCCTAGAAAATACAAATACACAAACCAAATGCAAGTAGGTGGGAAATTAACACAGGGCCCAATCATTGCATGAAAAGAGTGCTAGCTACCAAACCACTGTGTTGAGCCGAATTGATTTTTTTTTTCTTTGCCTGAAGCTTTTTATTACATCCTGGAAAAGCAGTTAGACTATACAGAAGTATGTTTTAATGAGCAACTTTACAAGATACAATTAAATGGGCAAGAGTGAAAAAATGGGAAAGCCAAGTAAAACCAATTATTACAATGCTGTTCTTAGATAATGAATAATAGTAGAGGATATTACACCCAAGGCTCTCATAACCTAGCCTTCACACACTTGCATAATCAATTAGCATGGTAACGCTAGTATGCAACAGAGGCACACTGGACTAGAGTAGGACATATAACAGAATACCTTCAGAACCTTTTTAAAATATGCATTACTGGAAAAATAGCAAAATGAGTTGCCCATATTCTTTAGCCCTTTCTTTCACAATAATAGTTTACCTTTCTAAAACTAAGCATTTTTTTCCTGGGAAATTAAACAAGGAAGCATTTACCTTGGCGTGGCAGTTCTATTGATATCCATTCTAGAGAAACATGGAATCCACTTCCTTTAACATCTAGATCATCTTTTTCAACATTCAGCAAAAGAACATCAATTATCTGCACTCCTTCCTGGACAAAGAGAACGCTGTGAAGTACAATGAAAGGATCTCCGAGTTCTTGATTAAACCGGAGCTGCAATATAAAAAGAAAAGTTAGGAGAGAAAGTTAAGTTGTAAATTTAAAGTTAAAGCCCATCTCTGGAATAATTGTACCCCTTTCCCCACCCCAAAAAAACAAAAAAAGAAACCTACCTAAAGTGCAGTCACGGGATGCTGCAGTTTCTTCATTTACATACTGTGTCAGGTATCCAGCGGCAGGGTCCTCTCAGGATCCAGCAGAGGAGTGACATCGGCATAAGGGTAAGGCAGGGGACGGGCTGATGAGGGGCCATGTGTATTGCTATGTTAGAAGTCCCCCGCACCCAGAAATGCCGCTGGTGTTAAAAACATTGAAAAAGACTTTGGAAATTACACGTTAGAACGGACAGTAGCTTCTAGTGTTTGGGTTCACATTTATTTTAATATTCATATTTTATGGGATCATATTTTGTTATTCAAAAAGAAAGTTTTTTTTTCACAAAAAAATAAATCAACAGTAAGCAAGGAAATATTAAGGAAATAAAATTACTCCAGTACAGAGGAACACAATTGGAAGTTCTGTTCCATTTATGTTTTTAAAAAAAATGTCCAGAGTGCACAATATAATGAAACAAATAGGAGGAACATCTTTGTATCCTCACACCACCTTTTGCTTCTGATATTGAAGTGGAACTACGCTGCATTTGAGCATCCCCAACCAAAACGCTAATTAAATCATGTTTAATATTCATCCATGTCTCTGTTTTATTCTACTGAACACACACGCACACACACCATCTTGAGTAAGGGCAAATGATTCATGTAGCATTTACCATCTGCCCTAGTCCATCTGCTTTTAGCTCAGGCATGTATGCAGGAGGGTGTGCTTAGCTGAGAAAACCTCCTTCCACTCCTGAAATGTATTACATCATATGCCTAGGACTGTAAACCAGAAAGTTACTGAAGAAATGTAAAACAATAGTTTAAAAAAGTAAGAATAATATACCTTCTTATCTAGTTACAAATACTATCAGCATAGAAATTAAGGTGACACTAAAGCTTTGTTTAAAAAAAACAAACATAACTATATTTACTTGCTCTGTGCAGCACAGAGCTGCCCTGGTCCTCTTCTTTTCCGGTCCCCGCTGGCCCTCAAGCAGTGCACCCAGTGAAAGCCGCTCACCCTGGAGGCACTGCTGTGTGCTCATCTCCAAGCCGCTGCTCTATGTGTCCATAAGACACAGAGCCGTGCCTTGGCCCCACCTCCCCCCGCTCTCTCCCTCATTGGCTCACTGGCTGTGATTGACAGCAGAGGGAGCCAATGGGCTCCCGCTGCTGTCTCAGCCAAAGAGGAGGAATAGTCCCCAGACAGCTGAGGCTATTGAGAAAGTCGTTGGATCAGAGGGGCCTAAGAGAAGTATTGGGGGGGGGGGGGGGGGGGGGGGGGGGGACAGTGCACACAGGTTTTTTACCTTTATGCATAGAAAAAAACCTTGAGCCTTTGGAACCACTCTAAAAAGGTCAGTGTTGTTTAAAGCAGAACTTCACTCTTTCAAAGATAAACTTAGGGATAGACAAAAAAAAAACACCTATTAGTACACCCCCTACACGAAACAGTTAATACAATTTTGAAAACCCTTACTATTTAGGAGAAAAGTCTAACGGAAATTGCATGACTTCATCTCTGTAATTCAAAATACAACAGCATCTGCGGTGCCAAGGAGGAGGTGTAACAGCAGGGATTACATCATATCCTCTCCTCTCTCTCTGCAGCAAAAGGAAACTACAGTTCCCTTCAACCATAGGGAATTGTAGTGAATGTGGGTGGGTACACTAGGCCTTTACATGTTGAATGTGTCTGAAAGTCTCTGTTTGATCACCACCGCAGGTGGGGCTGAACTACATCACTGCTTCCTGGAGAAAGAACTACAGAAGGGATGTGCCAAGACCAGTGGCTGGGGGAATAGTTTGATTTGAAAATGAATAGGCTATTTCAGAGAAACTACTGAATGAACTAGAAGATGGATGACATTCAGTGAAGGTAGGAAATCAGTAACAAGAACATGTAAAAAAAAGTTTTTGCCCGGAGTTCTGCTAGAAGTTAGCCTTCAACATTATATAATAAGGTAGGGGTAAATCCGGAATCTAATTTACAATGATGCAGCACTAGTTAAATAAATTCTGTGAGAAGATGTCCTCAAACTTTACACACAGACCTTTCTATATTCGTTCCCTTTTTGAAACCTTTGCATTAACATGTGTTAAACGTATATTATATTGCATATTACTGACATGCAGGATAACCTGTGAACCAGAGATGCATTCATTGCACCCCAATACACTATTACAACAGCTGGCAAGTGCACCACAATATACAAATAAAATAATATTATTTGAAATGTGTCACCCTTCCATATGTGCCTTGCTGTGAAGGCCAGTGGCCATTTTTTGACCTATTGACTTGTTGGTGAGGGGGCGCACTGGACACCTTGGCTGCCATTGTGCTACATGCTGGGTGTCCAGTACACTCCTGTACCTATAAGGAGGGGTGGGCTCCTTCAGGTTCAACTGCCCTCAGTCTATCCATTAAATGCATGTGCCTCTACTATGGGGACTCTCAAAATTTGTTGAGTTAGAAACTGCAGGATATCGGGGTGTCGTGAAGAGGCTCTGCAGCTTACGCATCTGTTTGCAAATGTGTGCTAATAAAGCCCCTGTTTTTAATGCGCACTGTTGGACAGGCTCATTTGGTTTATTTGCAATCTGGTTGGTAAGTTGAGCTGGGAATTTTTCTCTTTTTTTGTTTGACATGTGTCGCCCTTCCATGTACTCCTTGCTGTGAAGGCCAGTTATAGGCTGGGGTAGTGGCCATTTTTTGTAGTTTTGCAAAGAGCAGCCTGGATCCTCCTCTTCTCAGGACCCCTGCAGGCTCTCCTGGCCCCTCCTTCCTGCCGGGGGTCCCCACAGCAAGAAGCTTGCTATGGGGGCACGCGCTGCTCCATGTGTCCATTCACACATGGAGCCGTGGCTCCGCCCCGCCCCCTCTCTTCTCACAGGCTCACTGGCTGTGATTGACAGCAGTGGGAGCCAATGGCTCCCACTTCTGTCTCAGCCAATGAGAAGAGGAAGTCCTAGGATAACCGAGACTCCAGTGCACATCTCTGGATCAAGAGGGGGCTTAGGTGAGTATTAGGGGGGAGCATGCATGAAGGTAAAAAAACCTTGAGTCTTTAAAACCACTTTAACAATGCTGCTATCCAAAAGGTGCCCCTGCGCTCCTTCATTCAGAGTGGGGACACTCTAATACAGGAGGTGTATTACTGGCCAGATCACCAAGTGAACAGAGGGAAAAGCCTATAAAACTAATGCAGCCACATCTAATGATTGGTAAGCCGCAATATATTTAATTTTTGGTTTTGTGATTACCACCACTTTAACCATGGGTTATAGGAAATGGCATCCTTCCTCTAACCCCACCCACTCCCAGCTAGCCTTTGTAGCAAGCAATAAGGAGATCACAAGGAACAGTGGTGAGGTACCGGTTTCTTGTACTGTGATCCAAGAAAAAAATTTTACAGGTAAGCCAAAAAAGCCCAATTTTGTAAATCACACAGCACAAGACACAGGATCCTAGTCTTAACCATGGGATGTACCCAAAGCAGTCCAACTGGGTGATGGGAAATACAGCAAACCAGGGCTAACAGGCCCACATAACTGCTCAAGGAATAATCCCTGTAAAAAATTGGTACAAATAAACACAGAAAACCAGGTTGAGACCTCACAGAATCACTGGCTAAATACAGGAAGACCATTGCAAGCAACACCCTGTACAAAAACTCCCACAAGAAAGTGAGGGGCAAACAGCTCGCTAAAAGAACTCATACTAATAAATTTTGACCCTGGATGGTCTTCAAGGCCTGAAGCTCTTCCAGACCAGACTGGGAAAGCAGATACATCCTACGAAGCACATCCCAGGAAGGTAGACTATGTGAAATCAGGTCCTGATCCTGAGACAATCCAGCACAGTTCATGGCTGAGCCAGGAGTCTAGGAGGGCTATATCAATCATACCCTACCTGCAACAAAGATACTAAACACCTCAGATGGTGGACTATTCTCAAGAGTCCAGACATTGATAACTGTAAAGTCTGCCTGCCAAACGCCCACTCCACAATGGGCACAATGGTCAGGGGTGGAGCAGGAATTCTCCCACCCCCAGGACAGACGTAAAACTCATATCCCTGTTATATGCAATCATCAGATTATTTCCTGATAACCAGCGCAAGCCAATACAGTGGTATAATCCAACAATATCAATGTCGCTTGACCTCACAGGAGAAAACTCTCACATTGAACATAGAATGTTAATCATGAGACAAACGTTCTCTGGTGACCAAGTCCTCTGTATTAAGAAAGTACCCAGGACTGCACACCAGACTGTGTTCTGACATTCATCAAGAGCACCAAGCAAGAAACTCAGCAGAATAGATTTTTCCATATCCAATGCCCTACTCCAGGGCAAGCCTGGTGCTGACAGACCAATGATTGCACCTTCATGTTCCACTCCACCAAAATGGTTGGGAACACATAGGGGAAACTTGCAGCAGAAAGTGACACGACATCTGCAAGTGGGGGGCAATATGTTTGTGTAACATGCCCCGTAAAAAGTTTGCACCAAAATCAAAGCATCATAGCACAGATGGGACTCGCATGACAGAATAAATTAGATGTTGCCATGCCCCCATAGAGTGCCTGCAATACACATTTAAAGTATTGCAGCTCCATTCATGAACCTCCAGAGCAAAAAAAAAAAAGAAAACACCTGTCAGCTCCTGAGGCACAAAAACAAGCCATGGAGGTACTCACCAATGGAGGTCTGGGATTGAAACAGCAGCTGCCCTGGGGCATGCTGGACATTCTTCGCCCTCCTTGTGGGTATACCTCCCTACGGGGTCTTTAGGGACCGGACTGGACCACGGTCAACATTATACTTACTTGTCCAATGGCGTATTTGCTGATGCTTGGCTTTGTAGCAGAGCTGTCACCAATCCAATACATACTTTTAGGTTTTTGGAACAGCAAGTCCCTTGCTGGCTGCTGTGGTTTTTCCTGCCAACCCATGCATCATTACTGTGCCCTATAGTGATTAGGGGCCAGCAAGAGGAACCACAGCAGCCAGCAGGGACACCTATTTGACCAGCACAAATAGGATCAGTGCCTGTAGTTCTGCTACAAAGAAAAGTTTCAGCAAACAAGCCACCAGGCAGGTAAGTATACAAGCTGCTATCTTCAGAGTACCACAAATGTAAGCTGGACTCATAATACTTCATATCAGATTGAAAAGCTACACACAATATACAGTTAATAATGGCCTTGCCTTTATCCTGTCACATGAAATACACACAAAGGCAATTTGTACTTCCTAAACTCATGCAGATGAATGGGGTATATAAAGCTGAATACTTACTTCCCATTTTCCAGAGGGATGGTCAGCCTTTGCAATGTGAACTAGATAGAGGGTGCCTGTCCCGTCAGATAAGGTTACCCAATTGGTTGATGTGAAGTGCATGGAGGAGCACAGACGCCTGTCATAGGCACTCAGGTCACTTGGGAATCTGAAAACTTCTATAGGTTTTCCCAAAGCTGAATCCTGAAAAATAAATAATCATTAGGATTAACTTCTGTTACAAATTTAGCAGAGAGTACATACAGAAGAGACAGACTACACATTAATTGTGTTTCTTCTCACAGCATGGCTCAAGGCCACTACATTTTTGCACAGCTCCATTTCCCTCTAATCTACTATTCTGGGAACACCATATTGTGAGCCTAAAATTCTGCAGGCAAACTAAATTTACAAGCCTAGCCACTAACATTTTTTAAATAAATGGTTTTGTGCAATGAGGATTGTCCTTTCTGGTTTCCATTTACCGTAGATGCGGTGAGTGTGGAACTGTGCTGAAAACTGCTCTTGGAAGGGATACTTTTCCAGTAAATGAACTGAGCGATATCTGACCCATAGATGAGAGGGTCTCCATCTCTGGTCAGTCAGCTATTGTGACTGGTGAAGTTGTTTCCTTGCAGCAAGACGATTTTGGGGTACTGGACAGCAGCGGCAATTGTAGAATTATTTTTCTGACACTTGTATGCAAGACACTTTATTGCATTGGACACTTAATTTAATTTCTTGCATTGAATTTGGATGAATTATTCATTTATGGTTTTCTTACAGATGTATGGGATATACAGTATTTGATTGCACATTTTTATTCATCATTAATTGCGTGTATTTAATTAATTTATTGGTGTGCACAGATTTGTTACACATATTTGCATATATTTGGGGATGGATTTAATGTGGACATTTAATTAATTTATTCAGTGATGATTGCATCAAATTAAATGTATCTTTTCACATGTTTAGTGGAGGAATAGCAATATTTTATTATTTTTAGCCAGAGCTGTTTTCACATTCTTATATTCATAATAAAGGTACCTGATTTTCCGCCAAAGTTGTCTACAGGAAGAATTACATATACAGCGATTTCATAAAGTATTTAGACCCTCTTTTTTCATTGTCGTTATAATGCAGCCCGATACTACAGTTGTTTAAATTAATTTTTTCTTCCCAATAACTCAGTACCCCATAATGACAAAGGGAAAAAACTGAATTTTAGAAATGTTTGCAAATGTATGAAAAAATGAAATATCACATAAGTATAAGTAGGCATAAGTATCAAGACCCATTGCAACAACTCTTGGAATTTAGCTCAGGTGCCTCCCATTTCCCTTGATTGTTGCTGAAATGCTTTTACACCTTAATTGGAGTCCACCTGTGGTAAATTAAATTGATGGGACATGATTTGTAAAAGCACACACCTCTCTATAAAAGGCCTCACCGCTGACAATGCATACAGTATCAAAGCAAAAGCTATGAGGTCAGAGGAACTGCCTGCAGAGTTCAGAGACAGGATTACTGCAAGGCACAGATCTGGGGAAAGCTACAGAAAAATTTCTGCTTCACTGAAGATTCCCAAGAGCACCATGGCCTCTATAAAATTCTCAAATGGAAGAAGTTTGGCACAACCAGAGCTGGTTGCTTCGCCAAACTAGGCAACCAGGGGGGAAAGGCCCTAGTAAGAGAGGTGACCAAGAACCTGATGGTCACTCCAGAGATCCTGTGTGGAGATAGCACAGGACAAAGTTCCAGAAGGACAACCATCACTGCAGCCCTACAGCGATCTGGGCTTTGTGACAGAGTGACTAGATGGAAGACTGCATGGAGTTTGGCAAAAGCACCCGAACGACTCTCAGACTGAGGAACAAGATTCCTCGGTCTCATGAAACCAAGATTGCACTGTTTGGCCTCAATTCCAAACGTTTTGTCTGGAGAAAACCAGACACTGCTCATCACCTGCCCAATACCATCCCAAAGGTGAAGCATGGTGATGACAGCATCACACTGTGTAGGTGTTTTTCAGCAGTAGGGACTGGGAGACTGGTCAGGGTTGAGGGAAAGCTGAATGGAGTACAGAGATATCCTCAATGAAAACCTGTTTCACAGTGCTCAGGACCTCAGACAGGGCCGAAGGTTCACCTTCCAACATGACAGTTATCCTAAGTACACAGCCAACACAACGAAAAAGTAGCTTAGGGACAACTCTGAATGTCCTAGAGTGGCCCAGCCATAATCCTATTGAACATCTGTGGAGAGACCTGAAAATGGCTGTCCACCTACGGGCTCCAACCAACCTGACTGAGCTTGAGAAGATTTTCAAAGAATGGCAGAAAATTCGCCAATCCAAGTGTGCAAAGCTTGTCGCGTCATACCCAAAAAGACACGAGGCTGTAATTGCTGCCAAAGGTGCTTCAAAAAAATACTGAGCAAAAAGTGTCTGAATACCCAAGTACACGTGAAAATACAGTTTATTTCTTTATAATCAATTCACAGACATTTCTAGAATTCTGTTTTCACCTTGTCATTATGGAGTAACGAGTGTAGATTTATAAGGAAAAAAATGAATTTAAAACAACTGTATCAGGCTGCAACATAAAATTGAAATAAAATTAAGGGGGTCTAAATACTTTATTTATTCACTCTATATTACTTTTGAGGAAGGGCACCCACATGGCACAAAGACTAAAGTTCTGTCCATATGCTTAAATGTGGCAGCAAAGGCCCAGAATAGGGAATGGTTACAACCCCGGTTGTGTTTTCATTGTTTTTCGCTGCCTTGGCCTTATTGGGAAGATGTTTCCACACTTAATGTCCTGGAAACATGAAAAGGAGGTGAGATGAATTCAGTCCATTGTAAATGACTGAAACCAAAGCTTGAGTCCAGTCCTTATATGTAACAGATACATTCATTTTTCTTTTCTTTTCTTTTTTTTTTGGCTTTTTGCTCTTTACCATCGCCTGGTAATCGTGTAACACACTTCATGTCCTGGAACGGCGTTTACGCACAGGCATTGTTTCTATGAAGGAATAGACAGGAAGTGTGTTAGGATAACATGTCCCCTTCTCATCTCCATTACATGGGGGAGATGTTCTGTAGTCTACATATGAGAATTGGGAAGGACTGTTTGAGACTTCAGTTCGCTGCATGGGATGTTACAGTACACGGGCACTGGGTTTCTGGCAGGATGGACGGGTATTTTTCTCTCCTTGCAGAAAACATTCCTGAAAAAAAAGAAAACAAATTGCATCCACCACATCTAAGATATAGCAAGCTGCAACATATCAATTTTTGCTCTTGGATTTGGTTGAGCCACTGTCGGTTACACAAGACATAAGCCTGCCTTAAGACAGCAGTGAATCAATAAGTCATTGCACAGGGATCATCGACAGATCATTACATAATGTATAGTTAGAAGTTCCATACAAGTTAATTTTCCAGAGACATGCACAAACAGCGACTGTCACCAGCGGCTGACTCTAACCTCTTCTGTCAGTCTGTCATCCTTGAAATATGAATAGACAGTTTTAGGGCATTTCAAGCTGGAAATGTAGTATTTCTTTTTTGGTTTTCTTTTTTTTACCTAAAAATGCAAAAACTCAAACTTTTTCCTTTGTCTTAAGAAAAATATGATCGTTGTAGATTCTTCTGAAACCGTGCACCATAGAAACCCCAACATTTAATCATATCTGCTCTATAAATGATTCTGAAACCGTGCACCATAGAAACCCTAACATTTATTCATATCTGCTCTATAAATGATTTTGCAGAATCTATTACTTGAAGAATCTATTATTAAAAAATTATATTGTTTCATTTAAAAATAACATAAGTAGCTCTTCCTTATTTTTGTATTCCCATAGCGTAAAGCTGAACTCCAGGCAAACAGTTAAAAACACAGATGAAATAAATGTACAAGAGCTCTTTTATATGCCAAAGGATTTGCATTTTCTACCCATTCAGTCCTGAGATTTGCACAGCCCTGAAACATTGCACAGTCCTGCTTGGCAGGGGAGGAGACCTGATCTTTCTCTTCTACAAGTTCACTTAAAGTGTTACTAAACCCACAACAGTAAAATCAGTCTGTATATGCAGAACAGCATGCTTGTTATACTCACTGTGGAACCTAAGGGGTTAATCCACCACATTGTGTAAAAAGGATGTTTGATCCTCCCATTCTTTCAGTGTCTCCTAAATATTTGATAGAACAGAGGCTTGGGGACACTCTGCACATACTCAGTTTGGTGTGTATTGCTAGAGTTTTTCTTTTTCTTGAGAGATTGCATGTGATCAGCACAAGGCCAATCAGCACTGTCCAGACAGAGGTCAAATATCTGCATCCTCCTACAGGAGAATGAAAACTCCTCCTACAAGCTGTAACCAGTGCTCTGCTGGACACTGATAGAAGTCACAAGACTGCTCCAACTGCTGATGAAAAAAGGTATTTAGCAGTTTACATTTACTAAAATAATTGCATTTCCATGTTCTATGTACTGTGGGAGACCAAATATAGTGAATGCAGGGACCGGGGATTAGTAACACTTTAAGCTGGCCATAGACAGTTCAAAATTTTGCCAGTTCAGCAGGAACCGGACAAATATGATCCACACATGGACAGGCTGGTGGTACTGAAGTAGGTAAGACTTCAGTATCACCAGCCTGTCAGGTTTTTTTTTTTTCCGCTAGATTACTGCCAGTGGTTATGGCCACAAGCTGCGATGATTGGATTGTATTCTGAATGCTGGGAAACTTCCCACTGTAAGAACACAATACTGTAGCTCTACGGAAAAGATTCCCCCATTAGCACTGAATGTGTTGAAGGGCAAATCAAACAATTTTCTGTTTCTTTCTCTCTTCCTACGGCTGAAAGAAAGAAAATTGGTTAATGTATGGCCTGCTTACAGGTCTCCTCTCAACCCCAGCTTGTGATTGGATGGTGAAAGGAGAAGCTCATGAGGAGCTCATCTCTGCTCACTCCACCTGTCAGCAAACCTAACTGACTCGAGCTGCTTCTCTCTCTCCCATTCTAAGTGCTGCAGTACAGGACATTTCAAAAGGCTGATACAAAGTCAAAAAATTATTCACGCTTGCATTTATTAATAAAAAAACTGCAATTCAATGTATTATTGAATACAGTTCATTACCAGGATTTCCACATATTTGTAAATCTCTTTATAAAAAAGGAAACCACCAT